GTACCTACTATCTGCTGTACTGTTTTAGTACCTACTATCTGCTGTATACTGTTTAGTACCTACTATCTGCTGTATACTGTTTAGTACCTACTATCTGCTGTTACTGTTTAGTACCTACTATCTGCTGTATACTGTTTAGTACCTACTATCTGCTGTATACTGTTTAGTACCTACTATCTGCTGTTTACTGTTTAGTACTACTATCTGCTGTATACTGTTTAGTACCTACTATCTGCTGTTTACTGTTTAGTACCTACTATCTGCTGTATACTGTTTAGTACTACTATCTGCTGTTTACTGTTTAGTACCTACTATCTGCTGTATACTGTTTAGTACCTACTATCTACTGTATACTGTTTAGTACCTACTATCTGCTGTTACTGTTTAGTACCTACTATCTGCTGTATACTGTTTAGTACCTACTATCTACTGTATACTGTTTAGTACCTACTATCTGCTGTTACTGTTTAGTACCTACTATCTGCTGTATACTGTTTAGTACCTACTATCTGCTGTATACTGTTTAGTACCTACTATCTGCTGTATACTGTTTAGTACCTACTATCTGCTGTATACTGTTTAGTACCTACTATCTGCTGTATACTGTTTAGTACCTACTATCTGCTGTATACTGTTTAGTACCTACTATCTGCTGTTTACTGTTTAGTACCTACTATCTGCTGTATACTGTTTAGTACCTACTATCTGCTGTATACTGTTTAGTACCTACTATCTGCTGTATACTGTTTAGTACCTACTATCTGCTGTATACTGTTTAGTACCTACTATCTGCTGTATACTGTTTAGTACCTACTATCTACTGTATACTGTTTAGTACCTACTATCTGCTGTTTACTGTTTAGTACCTACTATCTGCTGTATACTGTTTAGTACCTACTATCTACTGTATACTGTTTAGTACCTACTATCTGCTGTTTACTGTTTAGTACCTACTATCTGCTGTTTACTGTTTAGTACCTACTATCTGCTGTATACTGTTTAGTACCTACTATCTGCTGTATACTGTTTAGTACCTACTATCTGCTGTTTACTGTTTAGTACTACTATCTGCTGTATACTGTTTAGTACCTACTATCTGCTGTATACTGTTTAGTACCTACTATCTGCTGTTACTGTTTAGTACCTACTATCTGCTGTATACTGTTTAGTACCTACTATCTGCTGTTACTGTTTAGTACCTACTATCTGCTGTTACTGTTTAGTACCTACTATCTGCTGTATACTGTTTAGTACCTACTATCTACTGTTTACTGTTTAGTACCTACTATCTGCTGTATACTGTTTAGTACCTACTATCTGCTGTATACTGTTTAGTACCTACTATCTGCTGTTTACTGTTTAGTACCTACTATCTGCTGTATACTGTTTAGTACCTACTATCTGCTGTATACTGTTTAGTACCTACTATCTGCTGTATACTGTTTAGTACCTACTATCTGCTGTTTACTGTTTAGTACCTACTATCTGCTGTATACTGTTTAGTACCTACTATCTGCTGTATACTGTTTAGTACCTACTATCTGCTGTATACTGTTTAGTACCTACTATCTGCTGTTTACTGTTTAGTACCTACTATCTGCTGTATACTGTTTAGTACCTACTATCTGCTGTATACTGTTTAGTACCTACTATCTGCTGTTACTGTTTAGTACCTACTATCTGCTGTATACTGTTTAGTATCTATCTGCTGTATACTGTTTAGTACCTACTATCTGCTGTATACTGTTTAGTACCTACTATCTGCTGTTTACTGTTTAGTACCTACTATCTACTGTATACTGTTTAGTACCTACTATCTGCTGTTTACTGTTTAGTACCTACTATCTACTGTATACTGTTTAGTACCTACTATCTGCTGTTACTGTTTAGTACCTACTATCTGCTGTATGCTGTTTAGTACCTACTATCTGCTGTTTACTGTTTAGTACCTACTATCCGTGCTGTATACTGTTTAGTACCTACTATCTGCTGTTTACTGTTTAGTACCTACTATCTGCTGTATACTGTTTAGTACCTACTATCTACTGTTTACTGTTTAGTACCTACTATCCGTGCTGTATACTGTTTAGTACCTACTCTTCAGTATGCACACACAGTAGGCAGATATTTGTTCCTACTTCTTCTGATTCATTCAGTGAGGAAGTGACGTCATTTACGTTTCCTGAACCGGCCACATTCACCCGCTTTTTTTAATTTATTTTGTTTATCTTTATTGAAGAAGAGTAATGCTCATATACAGTCAGGTAAACAAAAAACAATATTACAATGTAAATCAAGTAAAAGATTAAATAACTAAATAACATACAGTACATAAAGAACAAATGAAAGACAGTAATATATAGAATATAAAATAAACCAATAAAGACACATTTAAATAGTGAACTCATTATTTAAATAGTGAACTCATTATTTAAATAGAGGGGGAAAGGTTTTATAGTAATGCAGACATTTGTTTTATTTTCTGTTGTTAATTTAAAGTAGTGATTTCAGTCGGGACTTTAACTCTAGATTAAAAATGTATTCTATTAATCCACGCTCGTTTGTTTTGATTTGGAGGCGGACCTGAAGTGACGATTTACGTTTCATTTCGCACAGCATTGTGGGTAAAACACAATTCATTTCCTGAAAGGATTCATCCGATCATACTGCATAAAACCAGGAAGTTAGTATCCATACTGAAATGTTCAGTATACTGAGGTGGACCCAAAAAATAACCACGAGAGTTCAGTCTACTGAAGCTCCTACTGAATAGTACGTACTGCATACTGAACTGTGGCTATTCGGAAAGGGCCCTGGTGTGAATTGAAAGTTTTATTTTCCCACATTAATAGAGACAGTGAATGCCTCACAGCCCCTCCCATTGTTCAGTGTTTGTTACCTGATACCTTTGCGGTCAGCTGTTGTTTGTTTTAAACCTCAGTGTAGCTGAGGTGGGAGGAGTCAGATGTTTGAACCTTTTGCTGCACTGACTGTATCCGTCTAAGGAGCCTGTGCAGGTGCATCATGGGACATGTAGTGCGAAGTGACAAACTGAGTCAGATACCGTTTGATTTTTTTATTCCAGCATCAAAGAAACAAGAAACACCCTGAGAGACAGAAGCTGAGGGGGCGGCCATGACGGACGAGTTACAGTCCACAGAGAGAGAGTGTAGTGTGTGTGTATGTATGTACGTGTGTGTATGTGTGTGTGTGTGTGTGTATGTACATGTGTGTGTGTGTGTGTCTGTGTGTATGTATGTACGCGTGTGTGTGTGTATGTGTGTGTGTGTGTGTGTGTGTGTGTGTGTGTGTGTGTGTATGTGTGTGTGTGTTGTGTGTCTGTGTGTATGTATGTGTGTGTGTGTGTATGTACATGTGTGTGTGTGTGTATGTGTGTGTGTATGTGTGTGTGTATGTATGTGTATATGTGTGTGTGTACTACAGGTGTGTGTTTGTGGCTCCTGATCCTTCACACTCGATGATGAAGGTCACGTTGCTGCTCAGCTCGTCTTCACACTTTGTGATCGTGAACTTTGCCTGAAAAATAAACAACATTTGATTTTACATCATTTCATAAACTGTGACCTGACAGTGTGTGTGTGTGTGTGTGTGTTACTGTGTGTGTGTGAGTGAGTGAGTGAGTGAGTTACTGTGTGTGTGTGTTACTGTGTGTGTGTGTGTGAGTGAGTTACTGTGTGTGTGTGTTACTGTGTGTGTGTGTGTGTGTGTCTGTGTGTGTGTGTGTGTGTGTGTGTCTCTGTGTGTGTGTGTGTGTGTGTGTGTGTGTGTGTGTGTGTGTCTCTGTGTGTGTGTGTGTGTGTGTGTCTGTCTGTGTGTGTGTGTGTGTGTGTGTGTGTGTGTGTGTCTCTGTGTGTGTGTGTGTCTGTGTGTGTGTGTGTCTCTGTGTGTGTGTGTGTCTCTGTGTGTGTGTGTGTCTCTGTGTGTGTGTGTCTCTGTGTGTGTGTCTCTGTGTGTGTGTGTGTGTCTCTGTGTGTGTGTGTCTCTGTGTGTGTGTCTCTGTGTGTGTGTGTCTGACCTGAGTCAGCTGCTCCGCCACGTGGATGGCCGTCTGTGTGTGCAGCGTCACGGCGCCAGTTCGAATCCGAGACCTTCCCTTTGCCAACGCCATATAGATGATGACCTGAGGGGGGGTACACAAACACTACTGAGCATGTGCAGTGAGACATCTATGATGTCACAGTGATGTCATCAGGTGTGTCCCTCACCTGGTCCTGCAGGAACTCGTCCACACAGCCGTTATGTCGAATGTTTCT